CGAAAATGAAAAGCAATTATGATCTGAAATTTTTATAGTATCTAAAAAAATACTCCAACTATGCCTTGTTTGGTCAAAAAAATTTTAGAATTGTTTATCGATATTATTAATTTTTATCTCGGTGAAAAAATCTAACCAAATTGGTGATTTTTTAAATAATTTCAACACTTTTAAAATAAGTAATTAAGCTATTTATTCGTTTTAATACAGACAACAACTTTCAACGAGGTAATAAAAATATCTTAAAAATCAAAGTATTGATTCGATTTTAAGGCTCCCAAAGTATGACTTTTTAATTTTCTTGTTGTAACAGCTCAAATTGGTGATTGTTTTAAAAGATGAATACTTCTATTTATAAAGTAATTAAGCTATTTGTCCGTTTTAAAGTTCAGTCAACTCATTTCATCAAGATAATTAGGCACGCAAACTGTATCGTTTTTTAATTTTTCTTGACGAAAACTTTTCTAAAAGATTATAACAAGGTAATGAAATCAAACTATTATAAATTGAGCCTGACGGAGAAAAGTAAGGAAAGAATAATCATGTTTGGATTAAAGTATGTTGGGCCTGCGACTGATGAGTAACTTAGGACCCTACTTAAACCAAATTAGCCGAAACTTACCAGTACCCAGAAATATTCAAACTTTTTTATGAAATTCAGTTATTAAACTTTTTATGATTTCAGTTCAGGTTTTTAAAAATTCAAAACATCTCAATGAAATTTTTAATTTTTGTACAAAATTAATTGACTTTAACATTAGAATACGTTTAAGTGTTCATGTCAGTAAAAACATTCTGTCGGAAATTTTTAACGTTAGCCTGTATGAAATGTTAAGTGTGGTTCTTGTTTGAATGTTACGTCATTGTTATAACTATGAAATAGAGAAATTTACAGAATTTTTTTCTCTTTCACAAAATTTGTTACATTTTAGCCAACCAAACACCCCAGAAATTAATAATTGTTTTGAAAACGGTTACAAAAAATGAGAAAAATTAAGTACTAAGAGGTTGAAGCAAAAGAATATAAAAGAATAAATAACGGAGTCAGGTAAGGGTGCGTTTGAGCGAGGAGCAGAAGAGAACAACAAGGCTAAATAAGTGTTTTTTTTTTCTTCTTCTTTTTATCAAATTTCACACTTAAAATACATAAAATTGTTTAAAATTTTAAAGAAAGATTGTGAAAAAACACACTTGAAAAAATCTAATTTTTAGAAAATTATGAAAAATAATTTTACTTTCGTAAACTTTAGAGAACCCTTGAAAAACCCTACAAAATGTTGGGGTCGGGGGCTAATAGTCCATCTCTTTTTGTGAAATTTCATCAAATTTCAAACTTAAAATACATAAATTTTTTAAAAATTCTAAAGAAAGATTGTGAAAAAATACACTTAAAAACATCTAATTTTTTTAGAAATTTAATTTCACTTTCGTAAACTTTAGGGATCCCTTGAAAAACTCTACAAAACATTGGGACCTGGGGGTAGTAGCCCCATTCCTTTAGTGAAATTTTATCAAATTTCACACTTAAAATACATAAATTTTTTAAAATTCTAAAGAAAGATGTTGAAAAAATGCACTTGAAAATAACTATTTTTCAGAAAATTATGAACATTTTTTTACTTTCGTAAACTTAAGAGAACTCTTTAAAAACCCTACAAAACATTGGGGTCGGGAGCTAGTAGCTCATTTCTTTTAGTGAAATTTCATCAAATTTCGCACTTAAAATACATAAATTTTTAAAAATTCTAAAGAAAGATGGTGAAAAAATGCACTTGGAAATATCTATTTTTCAGAAAATTATGAATTTTTTTTACTTTTGTAAACTTAAGAGGACCCTTGAAAAACCCTACAAAATGAGGGTATCTGGGGGTAATTTAACCCTAAGTAGGGTACTCCGAAACAAAAATAACTATCGCAAATAACCCTTTGAGAGGGACTGATATACTTACATATTTAATCACAGTCTAAGCAAAATATCAAAGCTTTAAGAAATAAAGAGCAAAATAAGGATTCCTGAAATGCTATCACCATCGATTTATTCTTGGCGAGAAATTCCATTCTTGCGTGTCAATAACGTCACATAAGGGTGTCAATCTACACAACGTGGAAAATTTATTATTCTGTCCCAAATGAGGGATCAAGCTCAAGGGGTTGACCGCACTGCCGGACCATGTGCAGCCGATAATTAACCGGTTTGCTTATTAATGAGCTACAGGATCTCGAAACAGGGGATAGCTCAGACCATTTGCGTTCACTACCTCATCATTACAATTTGCATTTATCTTGCTTGATTCATTATTCACTCGATAAACGGATAAAACTTCACGATCACAGGAAAAGATAAAATAAGTTTAAAATAGAATTAAAGCATTTTTCTAAGTTAATTTTATTAAAGTGTGCAATATTTCCCCCTTGAAACCTTATTTAGTAAAAATGAAAAATATTTTATAAATATTAATTATGCTTGCAGAGGTGTCAATTTTCCAAACTAGCTCTCAGTAATCAGAAGTACAATAACACATATATGTACAGGGATCTGTCTAAGCCGAATTTACTAGCGTTTTGCGGTACCTTCACAAATTCAACTTTAGGAAAAACGGTAGTTTCACAAAACACTTTTTCTTAAAATTTTATTTTTGTATCCTGAAAGAAACGATAAATCCATATTTTTTTGTTGATTTTTTAATATAATTTTTAATTTTCTCAAATTATGCCTAAATTTTCACAAAATATGTCTCAATTTTCACAAAATAGGTACCTCTCAGAAAAACCTAGACAGACCCTTGATGTATACAGTTAGAGTTTACAAAATTCAAATTAGCTTACTTTTAAGGTATATATACTACATAATTCATTATAGGTATTTAACATAAATAAAAGAATATATATATTTCGGTTATTTGGGACTATAAACTCGTGTAAACCCATGTATTTCTATATCTATTAGCATCCCTATAGTTATTATTCACTTAGTTAGATCGTCTTAAGTAACAACTTAAGATTAGTTATATTATTTTAATTATATTAATATAATTATATTAATTTAATATTTTATTAAAAGCATTTTTTAAAGTTAAAATTATTTAATTTTTAACGCACATTAAAAAAAAAAACTAATCTTTGATATAGCGTAAACATTTAACTTTGTTAAAAAGTAGACAAATGGAAACAAAGAAAGATTGTTGTTTAACTAACTACTAGTTACAAATTCAGAAAAATATTTTTAATGACTGCAGAAAGAATAATATATAAACAAATAAAAACTATTATAAAAGGGTAAACAATAACAATGATAATAAATTTATTAAAAACCAGTTGGAATCAGTGCAAAATTTCACAAGAAATGAGTGTTAAAAATAAAAAGGCACTAAAAACTAAATTTTAAATTTAATTAATAAAAATTTTACTGATTTTTATATTAAGCGGCAGTAGCATTTTGTTCTTATAGAGACTGGAGTTGAAGAGACTGAAGTTGAGACTATGTAAAAAATGCTTCTTTTTGAATTATAAATAAAGAATTTTTACGCAAATAGCGCATACATAGACGAAAAAAAAACAACCTTTATTTTCCAAACAAACGAAAATAAATATTTTTTTCCTTGTAGTAATTTCGAGTCGTCCTTAAGCATTTTCATTTTTAATCGCGAAAAAAAATATCAACAAACAAGTAATGATCTGCACACTAAAAGAGTTAATAAACGACTTGCTGAAAACTTGCATAATTTAATAGCGGGGAGACGACTTTTATCATTTTAAGCTGCATTGTTTAGAATGATGTGTAAATTTGCAAACCTTGCAATTCAAACTTTTTTCGATCATGAATAAATAAAGTCATAAAAATTAATCGATAATTATAAGTAATTATTTTGTTTTCATAGAAATATCTTTGGGTAATTCATTTTTACAATTGAGCGCAAAACAGTCAAGCACCCTAACAGTCAAGAAGAATGACGAAATAGGAAAAAATATTAAATGAGAAATTAAAGACTCAAACTTTTCATTGCTCTCCTGACTTGACTATTTTCTTATCTCCTTTCATATATAGAGTTTCAAAAATTTTAATCCATGAAATGAAAAGATAAAAAAAAAAGTATTCTGAGGAAGTAAGCGTTCTTTTTTTTTTTCTCATCTTTTTTTTTTTTTTTTTTTTTTTTTTTTTTTTTTTTNTTTTTTTTTTTTGTCGACTGATTTCGTAATTTGCATCTGAGTGGTAGCGCTTCGGGCTTTCTTGCTACAAGTCCTGGGTTCGATCCTGAGACGGGACAAGGTTGGCTCAGCCTTTTATCTCTTCAGTGGTTCGGTAAAATGAGTATAAAGCATGCTTGGAAATAAAACACTGGGGGTTCCGTGTTCGGCTAACCACCCAACCGGAACGTATGCTCCTGCACCCCAAAACCCAAGGTCAAGAAAACTAAGATGGGTACAGTATGATTGGCTCTTTATGGGCAGTTGCACAACTAAATTTTATTTTAGTTTTTGTAATTTATGAAATATTTTCAGCACTAATTAGTTGGTCCACTAAATATCGAAATCTAGAGCATTCGCCTACCAATGAGGTGAACTGGGTTCGAATCTCAGCGACGGCTGGTCAATATGAATTCTACATCCAGCTTGCACCCACCACAATGCTGACGAGAAATATCCTCAGTAGTAGAATGATCATGGGTTTTCCTCACCATGTAACTCAAATACGGGTTGGTTCCACCAAAAAGTCCTCCACAAAGACAAATTTCTCCTAATATTTGATCCAGGAGTTCCCTTGCCTTCTGGATTGGGTTCAAAATTACAAGGCTGCGTAGTTGAACATTAGGAGTCGTAAACCCAAAAACTTGGGGGTCGGATGTTCAACGACGGTTATAAAATAAAAAATAAAATATCGACCTCTGGAGATATTAAGATTGCGTCTTAGCGAGAGAAAATCCAACTATCAAATCAAAAGTTATTTAGGTTATTCGTTTTATTTTGTGCACTGTATTATACTAATAAAACGAAAGACTGACCTGTGAATCCCTGTGGACACCTGCAGGCGAAAGTATTCACAGGATAGATGGGACGAAATAGGAGACTGTCAGAAGATATAAATCCAGAAGCATTTCCGAACTTCAATACAGAGAGGCATTCTTCGAAATTGACGCATGGCTCTCGGACACACAAGTTGTCATCGAATGGTAGGACCTAGAAAATAAAAGTCAGTTTGTACGTTAGGGGATCCCATGCCGTATAACGTACCAGTTTGTATTGTACGTTATATGACTTGAGATAAATAAAGTGGTAGATTCGTAAACTAAAAAAGCAATAACAAAATAATTCATTTTAAATATGCATTCACAATTAAACTCAAAAGGACAAAAAATTAATCACTGATGGGAGATCATGAAAAAGAATAATTTATTAAAGTGTAAAATTCCCACTCTCAACTTTAAAAAAAAAGAGCTTCGAATATTAGGGGGATTTCCACAAGTTTCCTTTCGTATCGTAAGACAAAATTTAATAACAAGTGGTAATACTTTGAAATAGTTCAAAATGTGATCGTAAATGGACAAAAAACGTGCGAAAATGAAATTACTTCTTTGAGGGATGATATCCCATAATGTCGGTGTTATTTTTATTGAATCTTGTTAAATAGTACTAAACTAAGTGATAGGTTTATGGAAAATGCCTTATAATTTATAGTTTCCTTTAAAAAAAATACAAAAATTACCTAGAAAACTGCTAGAATTATTATTATTTTTTTTAAATATTCAAGATATTTAAATCAGAATGGTTTCCTTAGTTACTAAATACGTTTCACTATATAATTATTAAAAAAAAATTTACATATTTTTAACACGTACGCAGTATAAAAGAACTGCTTGAAATATCCATATTTTGCGCAATTTTTGCATTGAATTTCTTTTGAAATTCAAAAATGCTAATTTTATTATTAATTAAAAATTTCTCATTTTTTAAAAAATTTTATTGGATATTTTTTAAAAAAATATCCAATAATTTATATTGGTAGAATTTTCCTTAAACTTCTTTTATATTCTTTAAACTTCTTTTATATTTACGAATTCTTTTATATTTAATGCATAATTATTTTGTGTTGTCTTTAAAACTAAAATTATCATTGCATTTAGACTTATTGTCAATTATTGTATGAATATGTTTATTAGTACTTATTCTGATGTTCCAAGACTCTATGCTTTAGAATACTATTTAAGAATTTATACCTTTTTACTTTTTAGAACTTATTTGGTTCAGAACTTGTTATTTCGAAAATTCACGACTCGAAATTTATTTAGCTTCCTGATTATTCCGATGCTCCAAGACTCTACGTTTTAGAATACTATTTATGAATTTATCTTTTTTACTTTTTAGAACATATTTGGTTCAGAACTTGTTATCTAGAAAACTAACTGTCTCAAAATTTTTCAACGTCCTGTTTATTCTCATGCTCCAAGACTCTACTTTTTAGAATACTATTTAGGAATTTATCTTTTTTACTTTTTGGAACATATTTTGTTCAGAACTTGTTAACTCGATAACTCACTCTCTCGAAATTTACATAACGTCCTGTTTGTTCTGGTGTTCCAAAACTCTATATTTTAGAATACAATTTAAGAATTTATCTTTTTTACTTTTTAGAACATATTTGGTTCAGAACTTGTTTTCTCGAAAATTCCTGTCTCGAAATTTTTTAGCGTCCCTTTAACATTGAGATATCAAGAGTATACTGTATTTATTGAGAGGGAAATAAAAAATAAAAAAAAACGGAAAGTGCTTTAACTCAATGCAAGTAACATTCGAAATTGAAAAAAATTAATAATAAAAAATTAAGAAACTATTATAACGAGAAAAACGAAATGAACTTACCTGAACATTGGCCAATCGAGCCAAAATGGCTCGATTCAGATACACCCTTTCCTGAAGATAGTGGGGGGAGTAATACTCATCCGGGTCTCGAGAATCAGGTCGGTGAACAGAAAAACTGACATTCAGTATCTTTGCTTCCACATCTGTATCATCCTATTCAAAGGTAAAAAAAAAATTACGAATTTATGAGCATCGTAAAAATTAACTAAGAACTCAAATTGAAAAAATTTTTGATTAAATTTTCTATACACAGTTTGAGATTTAAGTCTACAGGATTGGAAGTATTATTAAAATAAATGATTATTCAAAATCAGTGATAATTTTTTCGCTACTCAATTATTTAAAGCTCGCATAAGTCAAATAAATAAAATATTAGGGTGTGTAAATATTCAATATGGTGCAAGATACGTATGTAAATAATTCGAAACCAGGAAAGTCAGACAACAAAAATTGAGATCCATCAAGTCCAACATCCTTCAACGTGTCTGCCCACATGTTCTGGCAAGGAAAAAGTAATGAACCATGCATTTCAATGAACTATTAACATTACAGTGATCAATGAGTGCTACCATTAACCAGCCGATTCACTTGCCTTTTAAATTATGATTAATAATTAATTAATAATTAATTAATAAATAAGATTATCATTAATTAATAAGTGTTTAAAATTTAGGAAAAGGACTATTTATGTGAACAATAATTTTGGTTACAATTATACATCCTTGCGTCTGAATGACGAGAATAACTGTACCTGGCAAGAATTGGGCATGACACAATTAAAAAAAAAAAAGTCAAAATTTCAGGTGGTTATTTCAATATTTAATGTCAATAGAATCCATTCGCTTTATAATCTTGATACTAAAATTAACTGCTTACAAAATTATATTTATGTTTCATACTCTGTCTTTAACTTATATAAGTCGGAACAAAAAGTAGGTTTTTCGAAAATTAACATAGGAAACGGCTTCGATAGAAAATAGTGGCTTTTAATTTAAATTGATGTTTTTTATTTATTCATAAAGAATATAAGTTACGTAACTTTTAGTTGTTAACCATGTACTGACACCGATAGGCTCTGATCTGGAATTCATCTGTACTGATGATCCGGAAACAAATATCATCAGTGACCAATTTCGGCTGCTTGCGAATTGAAAAAAATCAGGTCGTGTTGAAGGGAAAAATTCCCCAAAACTACGACTTTAGCAGTGCTGTAGTCTTAAAATGAGGAACTAATGACGCCATTGACTTATCATAAATTTTATGACGTGTCTATTCTTAAAATGAAACATAAGTCGAATTATGGTAAAATTATTTGTGAGAGATTCGTTTTGATGACAGTTAAATTATAAAGGATCCATTAACAGATCTAAATTTTGAATGAAGGCACCATTCCTTTGCCTGGAAGCTGGTATAGTGTGGTGTTGAAATACTAAAAATAGCTAAACTAAAATAGGGATTTTTCGAAAGCGGTAAGCAAAAAATAATTACGTTTCTATTATATTCATTTAAAAAGATGCAACACATACATATATTTTCATATAAAAGAGATTCTTCAATAAGTACTGTTATGTGTCTACATTTCTCCCGGATAACACTCGATTTCCTGGTTACATTCCGGAAAATAGAAGAACACAATTGTTACTTTTCATATTCCATTTAATATTTTACTTTTATTCCTATTGAAACAAACATTCGAAAACAAACACGATAAAAAATATTCCTTTGACTCGAATGAAGAAGGAAAAATCACCGTATCTCGATTGTAGAATGCATGTTCCAAGAATGCATTTATATACCAACCTTTCAAAAAACTAATAAAAACAAAAGACGGTTATGGAGATGCGTTCAGTGTTACTGCATATCACACATACTCAGATGATGAGGAAAAGATTATAGAAAAGGAGGAAAAAATTGATGAAAGGCGAAAAAGTGATTGTGCGAAGCTAAAAAGGAATGTTTCGGTGATAAATCTACAGAAAGTGACAGGGATGGAACGATGGAGACACTTCAAACGATAAAAACCCGCCCCAGTTAGTTTGATGACACTTTGATGGTTCGTTTTTGGAACAAGTTCAAAAGGAGAGGATACAGATGGGGGGGAAAAAACAAAATGGCGACAAATCAATCATACTCCGAACAAGTGACACAAAATATAAGTATTTCTTTTGGCGACAAAAGAAGACGATTTTGACATTCTGCTACTTAAATCGTTTTCAAAATCACATATTCCTTTTGAGTTTTATTCGAATTGCAAAACTTATAAGCGAACGTGACGAAAGCAATAGTTTTCGTTATTTTCCTTTTTTATTTATTTTAATGTTCAATGATGAGTAAAAAATCAGTTGCATAAAAAAGAAACGTTTTAAAATCATAAGATCAAATTGAAAATAGTTCTAAAATATTTGTGTTAAGGCAGATGAAGGCGTTCCAAAAACATTTTTTCAAGGGGACTAAAATAACTACAATAATTTACAATGCATGTAGTAAATATTTTTTACTATTTACAGTAATTAAATTCCTCCCTTTATAAAAAAAAGTAGGAGCCAACATCACTGTTTTGGATGTTAAACTTTACATTTTGTTTTATTGCACAAAAATTATAGTTTGAAATTCCAAAGGTGTGTAGAAAAATTTAGATTTAGTACAACGGAACAAAACATTAACATTCGATAATTAGTTCGAGAATCATTAACTGTCAACTTGCAATAAAAATTAATATTTGGACCACTCTGCAAACCGTAGAAATGCAACTATAGAGTTTAAATTTGAAGCACGAGGATCATTATTTTTTATTAACTTAACACGAGTTTGTTTTATTTTCATAATTCCAATACGTCCGAAAGTTATTGCAATTTTAAGTATTTTTTTCGTAATTTATTTTGCTTTAAATAATGAGTATTAATCTGTTGTTCTAGGTAAACTTATTGCTCCCTCTCTCGAGATTTTTACTTATAAGCTTGCACTCGAGTTTATATCAAAAGGAAGAAACAACTAAGAGGTGTTACAAGATATAAATCATTAAATTTCTAAAATTTTTGAAATATTAAATACTTAATTCAAAAGTGATAAAAATAGTCTCCTATTTGAATCATCATAATGATATAAATCTTACTGATGAGTAAAATTATTACTCATTTATTTCTTCTTCATGTGTTATACATCTGTATTCCTCAATTCAAACTATTAGGGAGATTTCGCAAATTTTAGTTAGCCTCGTAAATTTACTGACGCATGCGCACTAGAAGTTCTGATGAAATGCGCATGTACCCCTGAAAAAAGTCAAGCTTTCGTAAGTGAAAATAAGAGATTTTGTAAGAATTCGTAAGTTAAACCTCCGCCGCTTGATGTAGTGGAATATCATTTTAACTTCAAACACAAAATAAAAACAAACATTCACAATGGATGTAGACCATTTCTTTAAAGCTGCTATGTACGATTCAAGATGCTTTGCTTTATTTAAAACTGAGGATCTATGAGCAGAAATACTTGGTAGATTATAGATTTTAATGAATTCAGCAATAAAGAATGCAGCATATAATTATTATTAATATTTAAAAAAGTTTAATTAAACTTTTATTGATTATTTAACTTCTTTCAACTAAATTGTACAGTTAAAATAAATATAATTTTGAAAAAGAGAAAATATATCTAGGTTCTTATGGAACTAGACAACCATAATGTTAAACAAGAACCAATAAAATTATTTTTTTATCGAATGAACTTATGGTTGTAAGATCGCGCGCGCGCGGTTTGTTTCTAAATTTCATCAATACATTTCTTGAAATTTGCATTCCATGTCTATGTTTTTAGTTCGAAGGTAGGCTTAAGCAGAAAACAGTATTTAACAGCTATAAACAGCATGCGTGTAGCTTTGTCTTAGTAGCGTAAATCACGCCAACATAACGTAAAGATACGTAGCACCTGAAATAAACGTGAGCATGCGCAGTTACTTCCACCTTACATACGAGAGCATGCGCAGTTGCTTCCACCTTACGTACGGGAGCATGCGCAGTTGCTTACATCTCACATACGGGAACATATGAAAGCCGGCCTAAAAGTGCGAAATCTCCCTATTTTTTCAATTTAAGTTGATCATTTTTAAAATCAAGGCACTTTTTCATTTCGTTTCGATTAATAGATTAAAAAATGTTCAAGCATAATAAATATATAATTTATAAAATTATAAATGCGAAGTAATCACAGAAGTTGGTGAACGCATTGAGTAACGGAAGCAAGTCCTATAAATAAATTTAATTTGAGATGAAAATAACTAGAATTTAATTTTTTTTATACTGATCATAATTTTATAAAAAAAAGAGCTTTATTATATTTTAAAATCTAGGTGCCTAGCTCTCCCTTGGAAATCTATCTGAGAACGCTACTGGACTGCTCACTCTTATTTATAGATTTATTGTCATCTTTTTGATGTTCAATTGCGTTTTAATGTACCATTGGAAATAAAAAAATATTTTAAAATCAATTAAAAGTGTCTTTTTCAAATATTTTAAAATTTTAATTGATTTGAGTTAAACACTACATATTTCCTCAAACAAACAATATTACAATAAACTACAGTACTATCATTGTCAATTAATAACAATTAAGGAAAATAAAAGAAACATTTCAAGAACTTTAAGCGCAGCCTAACATGTAATTAAACTCTTCAGAAACAAAGCGTTCCAGAAATCGAAAATATGAAAATTATTCGAAAGGTGTGGTTGAAAACTCCCCATTCAATATATCTAAAGAACGCTAAAATAAATCTGACTTCCATTAAATCCAAAATGCAAGGGAATATCGATATGGATATTCTTAATTGCACTCAAAAGACCAGATCCTTAATATCTATTTCAATTAAGAATTAGAAAATATCTGCATGCGGCTCTAGGGACATTCCATCTAAATTATTAACATTCGGAATTTTCTGGAATAATTGTCCTCGGGGTGTGTTCCCAAAATATGAGATAGTTATCTAAGAGCTTACCCAGAGCAGTGTTGAGTGTGATTACGAACGAAAATGTTCGATTCCAAATTATCTTTTCTCGTTAGAGAAGTAAAAAATTCATCAGGAAAAACTTCGAATTTCATACGTAAGGGAGTTATTACTCATGTGTGGAATTGAAATGGAAAAAAAATATATATAATGCGAAGAA